TAGGATTTCATTCTCATAGCCCATAAGTTATAACTTTCGCCATAAAAAATTTGAATAACGACTTGTAAAAAGTTTCTTTCTTTTTCCATTGTATCAAACCAAAGCTCTTGATACCACTGATAGAAATTTTTAGGGTTTTGTTTATGTGTATTTCTGATATATCATGTGAGTATATTTTTTATTTATGTACTTTATGTATATATAGAGTAAAAATATTACAAAATATTAAATATTAATAATATCTCAATCATAATTGCCTAAATCAAAATAATAACCTAATATCTTTTTATCTTATCTCTTAAAAGATAATAAAATCTCATAATACCTAATTTAAATAAAAGATAATAAATTAATATTCATAACAACTAGGAATATAAAAAGTATCCATAAGGTCTAAGTGATATCTAGTGTCAAGGATTAAACAATAAATCCCGACAACTTCCATTGGAACCTTCACTTTATTCCCCATGAAGACGAACTTCTCATTTGAGTTTATGGTTCAGGTTGAAAGGAATCCTTGCATCACATTAGAAACATGAGTCGTACATCTAGAATCAATCCACCAAGTATTATGGAGAACTTTAGTTAAGTTTGATTAAAAAACATACGTAAGCACTATACTTATCTTTCTCTTTGAACCAAGCTTTAGGTTTTAAGCAATCATTTTAAAAATGTCCAGACTTCCTGCAAAAATGACATTTGTCATTTTTCTTCTGTTTTTAGTAGATGACTCGTTAATCTTTAATGGTCATTAACCCTTGTCATGTTTCTTAACAACTTTCTTTTCAGCTCCTTGATTTTTCACATGATGAATAGTGTGGCTTCCTAGGTTTTTGAGTCTGATCTCCTCTTGGACTAACATACTGTACAATTCATGCACATTCCATTTGTCTTTCATGGTGTTATAATTCATTTAAAATGAATCATACTCAAACAGTAACGAGTTCAAAATGAACTACATAAGAAAATTTTCTTCCACTTCCATTCGAAGATACTTGAGTCTTGCTGCGATATTTTTCATCTTGATTACATGTTCATGCATACTACGAGAATTATCAAACTTCATGGTGATCAACGTACTCATCAATGTCCTAACGAGGAATTTGTCAGCAGTTTGGGAGCACTCTTCCACAAATTTCATAAACTCTTTCGTGTCCTCAATTTTAGGAAGAGTAGACTTAATATTGCTTACTATACTCATTCACATAAATATAAGGCTAAGTGTGTCTGACCTTTCTCAAGCTCTATAATGAGTTTTCTCTTCATGGTTACTATCATCAGTGATAGCAACAAGTTTTTTAACTTGGAAAGCCAAATTAAGATCCAACACACCTAAGTGAAATTGGACTTTTTCACTCCAGTAAGGAAAATTTAACCCATTAAAAACTGGAACATAAGCAGTGAGCGAATGTAGAGATATAAGAACAAATACTGTAATTAACACATGTCTAACATTAACACTTTGAGTAATAAAAACTAAACATAAATAATCATTTTATGCATATTAATGTTCTCCTTTGGGAGATCCATTAATACACAAACATAATGACGCTAACCATTTTATAACATTAATGATAATTAAAATATGCATCCACTGCAACCATCTAACACTTTTGGGTATATAAGATACACACAAAAATTATCTACCTTCATGTTCATTAATTATAATAACATATAATCAACCTTTGGGTGATCTTGAAAAACCTTATAATAATGAAATTCAATTAACCCATAAATAAATTATTCATAATTTTCGCATAGGTAATTAAAATAAAATTATTAATATTTAAAATCAAATAACCTTAAATTTATAATACTTAATTTTAAATAAATAAGATTCATAACATTTTTCATTAATTTTAATAAATATGTACACATGTACCATATCTATAACAAATAATTATTATATTAATTTTATAATGATTTAAAAAAATTGAATCATGCGCGACCAAACCAATTCATGCAGCAAATTGGATACATGATTTGCCTTTTTTAATTTAATAAAAACAATTTCACAGTGCCATAACCAATAATGTCATTCGCCTTTTCAATTGCACACTACATAGCCACGTTCGTTTCACAATGGCTATAAAAATTGGTTTCAATTAAAACCAATTGCCATAACCAATAATGTCATTCACCTTTTCAATTGCACACTACGTAGCCAGGTTCGTTTCACAATGGCTATAAAAATTGGTTTCAATTAAAACCAATTGTACATGAGTTATTCCATTGCAAATGATTTGCATGCAGTTTAAGCCCCTGTGCGTGATTCACTCTTCCAATTAAAATCAATTTTGCAGGGGAAGGAATAAATCCAATTTTATAGCCAATTCAATTCAAAATTGATTACACCGGAAAATATAAAATAGAGTTTATTCCTTTATTCAATATTGGAAAAAAACAAATTTGGAGATAAATCAGGGTTCATGCTAATCTGGACAGAGAAATCTCTAAATTTATAATTAAGATTTATCTTAATTAAAAAAAAAATAATTTGAAAAAAACTATCATAAGACGAGAATCATAGATTTAATAATAATGATTCTGATACTAAATGTATAAGATATTTAGATTCATGATTATCACATAATAACATAAATGATAACAAGGAAACTAACATTGATCCATGAGAAATAAGAATGCGTTTTTCAATATTTTTGTTCTCCAATCTCTTTTATTCAATCTAGATTTTTACATTTGTTCTCCTTTCACACTTTTACAATTGTTTACTGTAAAAAGAACCTTATGGTCAAAGATAAAATCATAATCCCTTTATTAATCAACATCTATCAGATTGGTTACCGTAAGTTTTTATTTTATTTTATTATGACTTACGTAATAACCAAGTATATTATTATATTTTATTAAATCACATTTTGACCCATCATTATATTTCATGAGTCACATAAACCCACCAAAATATATTTTAAAGATAAAATCGTGAGGATTAGAACTCCAAAACGAATAATACATCACATATGAAAATTTATCATATTACCATAATAGACTAAAATCCGAATGCTTTTTTTTGGGTGGAACATCAACAATAAGCAAAATCTACATCAAATTTACATATTTTGTAAATTTAATCATTATATGATACGTGAAACTCTAAGAAAACTACTACTTAATATTAAATTTAGTATAAAAATAATGAAATAATATATTTTTAAAAGTTAAAGATTAAAAAAAAGTTTAAAAAAATAAGAAAAAAATATTTATCTCTAAAATAATTATCATCTCTTATAATTTTTTTTTGAATAAATAAATAAATAATTTTAGATTAAAATTTGCCGAATGTTATTTTTAATGTACAGAATTAAATCCAGTTTAATATGATAATTTTTTCTATTTTTATTTTTATTTTTAATTTTCAAGATTTTAAAATTTGTATTTATTTTGACTTTTACTTCTTTGTTTTTGGAAACATGTTTGGTTTAACTAAATTTTATGACAAGAATATTTATAATCTTATATTAATGAACATGTTGGAAATAAAATATATTATATTATGGTGAAACAATAATGAAATACTTATTCTATAATATATTTGTAAGTACTGAACATGTTTAAAGTTTATTAATAATAAAAGTAGTTTATTATGTGTATCATTTTATAAAGACGATATACGTCTTTATAACTATTTTTGATATATTTTTAATCAAACAATTTTATTCTTCACTAAATAAAAATAAGTCTATTATTTGATAATATATATAAAAACAAATGTAATACTTTTACTTAAAAAAGTAATCACGAAGAGTTGTTGAATGATCCCAAGTCAACATAATCATTTTATACTATCAATTTATTTTACATATTTCTTTTAAATTATTTTTACAAAATTATCTAATTTTTTTTAAAGTTTTGTTATTTTAATATAATAGAAATGTAAATAGGAAGATGGAAGAGTATATATATGTTAAACATGATTTATTTTATAAAAATGGTAAAATATGTTTATTAAAGCAACGTATTCTTTCTATTTTTGTTTAAATAACCCCATATTAAAATATTAACTACTAAATTTGTAGACTAAAATACTTCACTTTAATGTTAAATTTTTATAAAATTTAATGTATTAGTATATATAAATAAAAATATAATAGAAAAAAACATTATAAATATTGTTTTAAATTTGTAAAACTATAATACAAAATTAAATTACAAAAATAATTGTGCTGTAATAGAGGGATTAACATATTTCTATCACTTGCCCTTTTCAGTCCTTCAGTGAACAGATTATTTCCATTCACTCGAGCTTAAGCGAATACGCTAAGCGAGATTTCCATTCACTTCACCAAGTGCGATTCAAAGATGGAGGGAATTTCATAAATTCTATCCCTCTGGGTGCTTCATCTCACTTCAAGCTTATTACCTTTTCTCTCTTCTACTTCTCCCTCATTTCAAGTAAGCAACATTTTTCTTCTTCTCTTCCTTGTTTATTATGGTTTTCTTCACTTGTGCTTGAGTTGTACGTTGATTTCATAGTTGGAATACTTGGTGTCATGGGTGGTTTTTTAAAGTTGTTTTTTTTTTTTTGTGTTTTTGTTGGAAAATATTGGGAGTCATGGGTTGTGTTTTAAACTTGGGGTTTTTGTGTTTTTATTGGAAAATATTGGGAGTTAGGGATTTTATTCTATTGCATGATGCATTAAGATGATGATTGTTGAAGGATGTAGATAGTGAGTGTTGTTTTGCCTGTGATGGTTTGATTTTCTATAGCTTATTGTTTCCTCACAAGGTGTTCAAGAAAATGCCTCAACGTGAAAATTTTGCTTGCAAAGTCGTTATTTTTTTTATAACCCACCTGTTTTTCTACATGATGTGTGTGTACTGTTTCAACCAATTTGTTTTGCAACTCGTGCGCATGCTTGATTCAATTGTTAATCACTTAGGCATTATGAGTTCGTTTTTCTTTCCTCCATTTGTTTTTGTGCTAAGAATTGGTTTTCTTTTAATGCTTTTCCTTCCTCTGGTTTTTTCTTTTTTTCAGGATGGATACTCCTTCCAAGCCACCTGAGAAAAAAAGAAAGATCTCAACACCCAAAGGCACTCCATCTTTTGATTCCCACCGCTTCCTTTTAGAAGAGCACCAGCAATGGTATGGAGTAGTCGATAACCGGAATTTATTGCCGGAAAGAAAGGTTGTTCTACAAACAGGCGAACACGAAGAGTTTCAACAAGAGTTTCGGAGGCGAAAATGGATCAAATTGGCCAAATACGCCGCCCCTGCAAACGTAGCCATTGTCAAAGAATTCTATACCAATGCAATGCTGTTCAAAGCAGGAGTTCCAACCTTCAAAAGCTTTGTGAGAGGGAAAGAGATTTCCTTTAGTGGCCGAGCCATTAACCGTTTTCTGGGTACCGAACTAAATTTGGGTCCATTAGAGTGTGAATATGTTGAATGGTGTAATAAGAAAAAGAACTACTTCAAAGTGGTTGAAAAACTGTGTAAGCCCGGGGCAGACTATGTAACTAGTTCATCTGGCCACAAGCGGAGAATTTTGAGAGGCGATTTGCTTCCCTTAGCGCAGATGTGGATGTCTTTTCTGCATTCGAACATTGCTCCTTGCTCTCACACCTCAGATATCACTGAGAGGAGATCCCTAATGATATATGCTATTATGGCTGGATTATCCATGGATATCGGAGCCATCATTGCTAAGGAGATTCATTTGACAGCAAACTCGGCCGGTACTGGCCAGCTGAGTCATCCATCTCTTATCACTGAGCTTTGTCGCGAAGCAGGAGTTGATGTCTCAGAGCCACCTTTCCAGAAACCTCGCCAGCCTATTAATGCCCAGTTCATTCTGAAAAACTGTATGGGAAGTGAAAACCGTCCTCCTTCAGTGAGAGTTGCACCTCCTGTAGTACCTGGTACCATCACTCACCGGCTAGTGGAACTCAAGGCTGATCAACAATTGATTCACCAGAAGTTGGATGCCTTGTACCGTTCCCAGGTTTTGATGATGAGCAGCATTCGGAGCCTCTCATTTCACATGCCTGGCATTTCTCAGGACTCATTTCACTTTCCATCCGCAGAGGAGTTTCATTCCCATGTTGCATGGCCGAAACATCCTGAGAAACAAGATGATATCGAGGGAGCGGGTGAGCACGCTGCTGAGGAGGAGGAGGATGAGCTTGTTGATGAGGAGGGGGTGAGGATGCTGCTGATGCTGAGGAAAAAGAGGATGAGCAGCTTGGAGACTAGATGATTGAATGCTTGATCCTGTTTTCTTTCAGTTTTATTTTGATTTTGTGATCTGGTTATTTTAATTCTGACCTTTACTTTTGCTCTTTAAACTGTTATCTGCTGTTTTACTGATGTTTCTGATTTGTGCTTATTGCTCTGCATTGCTCCCATTTTTTTCCCTTGAAATGAAAGGTGATATGAGTATCTGATTTGTGTTTTTCTTGTGTGTTCTTTTGTATTTTATAGCTTTGATGCTTAGTTTGAGTTTTGTGCAACTTATGAGTGTGACATGATAATTTTGAAAAAATTCCAGATCACCAAAAATAAAAGAAAACTTTACAACATCATTTTTCTTTCAAACTTTTCTTACAAATTTTATTCCAACTTGCAGCAGTAATACTTCAATGTCATTGTCCAAATGAAAAAAAATAAAATAAAATAAAAAAGATGCTGTAATAAAGCAAAACAGAAGTAGTAAAGTTTTTGTATGTAGTACCATCTCCATGTATATCTTAAAGAGAAACCCTTCAATTATAAATGGATTTGCATGAATTTCTGACAATATATGCTTAACTAGTGAATCCAAAACAGAGAAAGGAATTTACCCTTATATTTTTTCAACAACGAAGATTATAGAACCATTTATGGTTATCTAAATGTTATTGCATATTATTCACACTCTCATCACAAGGTGAAATGCATTTAATTTTTTATTATTATTATTATTATTATATTGCTTTTATTTGCAATGTTATGGCTTTCTTTTACTCCCATTCAAAGTTGTGATAATAAATATTTCGTAACATGTTAATCAATAAAATAAATCAACATGCTAAAAGGGAGCGTGATTTAATTGAATGAGAGTACAAATACTTTTATGCTTGTCGTGCATTTTTGGGTCTAGGATATAAAATTATAAATTATAATAGTAGTTATGATAAAATAAGAATTAGTATGTTGTAATCAAAATGGATACTTAAAATTAATTAACGTGAAATCATCTTCATTTTAATACTTAAAAAGATTTAAATTGTGAAAATGTGTTATTTTTAAGTTTTTTATTAAATAGAAAATTTTAAAAAATTTAAATGGCATAAATTCATATAATTGAAGAGAATAAAATAGGAGAATTAATATGTAATTGAAGTGAGATAGGTATATAAGATTAAATATGAATTTAATGAAAAAGGTTGACCTTTTTAAAATTAGGTATTAATTATTTTGTAGGTATTTTCTTGTGAAGATAATGAAATATCATTCATATTATTTTATCTATCTTAAAATAAAACAATTAAGAAATATATCTAATGAATGTGAAATTTACTTTTTAAATTATTTAGGGTTTAGGTTATCTCAAGTTTTTTATAATAACTATATACATGATTTTGATGAAGATAAGCTAATGAGAACATCTTGTCTAAGACTTAACAAACCAGATAATAATTACCACATAATTTAATAGTTATTGGATCACCTAACAATTAATGTTTCTTTTAATCTCATTAGACTAGCTTGCAATGAATGTGTTAACCAAGGGTTAACATACCAACTAATAATTTATGTCATTTAATGAAACTCAAAATTGAATATAATGTTTATCATCAACTTGTCTAATGTCATGTGTTATAAACTTCATTTGATAACGAAGAATTAGACTCGACAACATGTTATGGGTTCATCCAACGAAGAAAGACTAAACTCAACCACTAGACTTTCTATGATTGACAAACTTGATCCATACATATAAGAGCTAACATCTTATAAGAGTATCGCATGCTAAATACAACAAACCACCTTATAATAAACAAATGTAACATATGCTTCTCACTTCGATTGATCAATGTACCAACTAACAACATAATTCTTGCAATACTTGAAGCTCTACGTATTAATTAAGTAAAACAAAAAGAACAATCACCAAGATCATTTTTTTATGTGCAAGTTAGCTCTCTCATTGGGAGAAAGTCACAAGAAAAGCAAAATAACACTAATATCTTCAATAACTACTAAGCATGAATTGTATTTATGAGAAAAGTTACACACTTTCTAAAAAGTCGAAGGGACATGTCATAACTTGTACTAGGTAAAGTATGCTCTAGCTCACATGTCTTAATGACTATTTGTGCATGAGACTATAAACAGCAATGCAAGACATGCAAAGAAGACTAATGTACTTACAAAAAATGTTGTAGGATTCATTTTGTAAAATAGTCTCCATTTCTTAATTTTAGAAGAAAGTCATACTTGTAAATACTTCACCTTGTGAAGTTACTATTTTATATTTTCTTTGAGTTAGGAGAGAAGTAAAACTTTTAAATCATTCATTGTGTGAAACTAAATCTCTAGTATACAAAAGAATCACCATCTTATCTCAATGAGAAATATATACCTATAATCCCATCAAACTTTTGTTTAAGATGCTTGGAGAAGTTTCGTGTATTTGTTAGATTTAGGAGTAACTTAGCGAAAAAGAATACTCAATGTACTAGGAAAGACCTTGTGACTTGTGTTTTAACTCAGGAGTTAAAGGCTAGCCAAGGGTGCCTTTATGCACTCGTGTTAAGAGTGATAACTACTAATACTTTGTTATAATCTATAAATTATAATGAAAGCCTTTAAGAATTGGTAGAGTACCACTTGACATAACTTAGTTTGAGTGAACCAATAAAACAGTGCTTTTATCTACTATCTTGTTTACATTTTTACACTAATCTATATTACTTATTTAGACAATATATATTTTGCATACTTATTTTAAAAGAGTTTTTTAGTTGTTGTGAAATACTTATGAAAAACACTTTATTAAGTTTGGGATGATAACATCAAGTCATCTATTCAGACTACTATTATTAGATGACACCTTGGGTTAACTAATCTACCCGAGATTAGATGACAAATGTGTATTAACTAATAAATCATTAGGAAAAATAATTTAAAAACTCTATTCAACTTTTTACAGATGACTTGTAACTTGAAGAAAAATCCTACTGCAACAATAGAAAATGCGAAATATATAGTAAATAGATCATATTTGTTTAAAGGTGAGAATTTGATTATTAAAAATAGTGCATGATTTCATTCTTTGAATCATGCCACATAAACATGTGAAACATTGATTAGAATTGATACATACTCTAGATGAGTTAGACAACCCTTTATAAAACGTCCTTGGAAGAAAGAGCAAAAGTAAAGATACCTACTCAACTTCAAAGGTATAAACTACTTATGTTTGTTGTCAAAAGAATAATATAGAAAATTCCACGTGTTCCAAGAAAAAAAATGTTGGACACTCCCAATAAATTATGAGGGTTTTACGGAGGTAAAGCGTAATAAACTTAGTTTACTCACTAGACAATATAAATTAATTAATATAATTAAGAATGAGGACATACAATATATGTTTAACAAATTCTAAACCATAAGTTGAATTCATCATGTAAAGCATTATTAATTGTATGACCATATTTACAAAATTTTAAAAAGTTTGTTAAGGTAGTGACATTCACAGATAATAGTTGTTAAAACCTCTAAATATCTTAATAACATGTCATTGGAAAAGCTCACTGACATCCTGAAAATGCATCAGTTAGGGGCGACAACAAGATAGACTTGTAAAGAATGAGAAATCTATAACACTTAAAACCTAACTTACTAAAGAAGTCTCTAAAGACTCATTTGCTGATGACAACTTTGATAAGGATGATGAGGATGAACTCATATTCATCACCAGAAGACTTTATAGCATTTAGAAATACGAGAGCCTATTCCAAACAAGAGAAAAGTAAAGGTAAAAATCAAGTAATCTATTATGGATGTAAGAAGGAAATATATTTTAAACTAAAATTTCTCAATCAAGAAAAGATAAAAGACCTATATTCTCCAAAGTGTGAAAAGAATAAGGTTTGTAAATACAAGTGAGATCTAGAAAGGGAGGGTTTGAATAAAGCTTTCAAAAATCTTTTCATAATAAACTGTCATTGACTTGTGAGTTTATTTGGTCACAAGATGGTTAATTGGTGTTGGCTAATAACGTTAAAATGACTAGAAGATATTATATTGTCTAATGGCTTAGTTTCGTAAGTGTTAGTGACAAATTTGCAAATATCTCAAAAGGAATAAATCGAGAAGTATGAGAGGTCTTAAGGGAAACAATGGTAATGAAAGAAGAAAAATCAATGGTAATGAATTGAAATGTGTGAATCGAATGTACAAGCTTTAAATGTTTATTATTAGGAAATGCTCAAAAGTGCGTATTATAAAGAAGAGAGATTGAGTTGAATAAATGAGAAGTCAAGCAAAAACATGGTATAATCAATAGAATGTTGAGAATCAAAGAATTGAGAATGTTAAGTCCATGTATGTGATAGGGAGAAACAAGACACCGAGAAGAAGTTATGCAATCGAGAGATACACAGAAGCGATTATGGTGCCATTACGTGCCATGTGCTTTTATGGATATTACGTGACAACAAAGTGACTCGAGAAAATAGGAGAGCGGTTATAGGAAAGTAACCGTTTGTGGATTTTATTTTACATTTCGTGTATTTTATTTAACTTTACCTTAATTTTATTTCTTATATATTTAAAAAGTGTCTTAGTGGTTACAAAAAGAAGATATAAATAGGGTGAAATAAACATAAAAAAAGTGATTTTTAAATTGTACGAAGAAACTTGCATTATGAAAAATACTACGAACAAGGGATAAACATTTTCAATGGAGTTTTTTGCAATTTGAATCGTTATCTTTTTTGATTTCTTTTATCAATCCATGTTTTATCCTTGATAATTGGTTATATTTACTTTTATGCAATTTACTTTCTTTACACTTTTATTTTCTCGTTGCAAAATTTATTTTCAACAATTTACTTTCATTACAATTTTATTATTTTTGCAATTTACTTCAAATGTTACATATTATATTAAAAATCCAAATTATATATGGACAATCATTCATTGAAATTTATTTCATTTTGAATATCGAATGAATGATTGGTTTCATATAAATTCCCTGAAATTGAAAAA